TGAACCCCCCTTCACGGCCTCTCCAAACTGGTGGGCGGCTGTTATCCAGCTGCCCCCCCCCAGACACAGCTGCAGCTCCGCAGCGGGGGAGCCATCTCCCGGCGCGACTTCATTACCCAGCTGCCTCGCCCCAGAGGAGGCCGTGTTAACCCTGCACTTACCAGAAGTAAGCACGTGCCCCCAGCCAGTCACGGTGCATTTCATGCCGCTGGGGAAGCTGACGGACGCGGACGGCAGGCAGATGGGGCGAATGGTACGTGAGTAGGAGACAGGCTCTTTCAGTTTCACCAGAGCCAGGTCCCCACCGGAGCCTTCATCCGTGTAGTTGGGGAACTTGATGGCCTCCGCCACCAAAACCACCTTGATGTCTGCTCCAGGGTTGCTCAGCTGATAGGCTCCTAGTGTCACCTCATAGTCAGCGATGGGGTTTTCCCTGCAAGGTGGGGGAGAAAGACATGGGATCTCAGCCAGGAGAAAAGCCTGCACCTCAGGCTGCAGGAAGCCTCAGTGAATGGGGACTCTCCCTTAGCTGGCAGCAGTGTAGGGGCAAGGACACACGCCATGCTGCCTCAGATTCTATGCTGGAGAGAGGAGAGGGACACACCCATGCTGGGAGCAGGGTCTAGTGGCTGGGAGTCAGCGTTCCTGGGTTCTAGTGAGTTAAGAGGGGGGAGACTGAGAATGAGCAGCTTTGCCCACAGAAACCCACTCAAACAGGTTTAGGGCCAGAAACGGAGATACAGGCTCCTTCTGACTCGTCCCCTTCCCGGCCTCGTGCTCCCACCCCCAAGGAACTCTCAGAGATGGGTCTGGCCCACATCCCCCCCACCCCCCGGTGCTCTGTGAGTTAAGAGGGGGGAGACTGAGAATGAGCAGCTTTGCCCACAGAAACCCACTCAAACAGGTTTAGGGCCAGAAACGGAGATACAGGCTCCTTCTGACTCGTCCCCTTCCCGGCCTCGTGCTCCCACCCCCAAGGAACTCTCAGAGATGGGTCTGGCCCACATCCCCCCCACCCCCCGGTGCTCTACTTACGGTGGGAAGCAGTGAGCTGCGGTGATCACCCACTGGGGGGCGATGAGGGAGCCGCCACACACGTGATTATTCAGAAAATTCAAGCTGACCTGCCAAGGCCACTGCCCGGCCTGCGAATCCGTGCCCCCCACGATCCGGCCCATGGCAGGAATCCCACATGTTCCTGCAGGGGAGCAGAGAAGCAGCGAGTGAAAGAGAAACAGCCGCTCATGGGGGTGGATTTTTCCCAGCCCCGAGTGAGAGAGCTGGGTTGGATTAACTCTGTAACACGCACTTGCCACAAGGGAGGAGAGCGGCTCACACCATTTTTGACTGGCTGGCCCCCACATGAGTGGAATGAGCCTCTGCTCCCAGGAGCTCCTCCCTTAGCTCTGCTGGTTGTTGCTTGTGCCTTTACCCAAGAGATGGTGGGTTCGAATCCTGCTTCATACCCTGAGGGAGAACTGGTTTATATTGGACATAGTTGTCCCCCATGGATGGTGGCTTCACAAACACACCAATAATCTCCCCTCCCCCAAAAAAATAATTCTACTAACTGAATGATTCAAGGGAGGCTGTGGCCATCACAGGGCTGTTGGAGACATCAAGACCAGCCTACAGCAGGACCAATCCCAACTAAATCAACCCAGCCAGGGCTTTGTCAGGCTGAGACTTAAAAACCTCCAGGGATGGAGATCCAACTCTTCCCCACCTGCCTAGGGAAATAGCGTTTCCTAAGATCCAACCTAGACCTCCCCCACTGTAACTTGGAAATGATCTGGAGAAGAGCCACATTCTTACCTGTTTGTCCAGAGATCTGTTGTACACCTAGTCAGAGGAGGGGAAAAAAAGCACAATCAGGCATGCACCCCAGGATGACAATGAGGGGAAGGGTTATGGGGGAACAGCCCGTTACATTTCCAGGCTAGACCCTGCTCAATAGCTGCTGATGCAGCAATAAAGTAAAGCTAAGTTCCACCCACTACATTTAACTCCCTTCCGAGAGTCCAGGTAACAACCCAGGAGTCCAGTCTCGCAGCCCCCCCTGCTCCAACCATTAGACTCTTCTTCCTTCCCAGAACCAGGGAGACAAGTGTCTCCTCAGACAGAGCAAAGTGCCACCTTCTGAACCAGGAACTTCACAGCGCCTGGGGCCGTCTCCTCCCCAGCCCAGCCCATGAGACAAGCCCTTGAGCCAAGCAGCCATCGAGGCAGCCTGGCTGGGTGATTCCCTTTGGCCTGTCTCTGTCTCGCACCCAGCGCCACCCTCCTTTTCCAGGAACTGCTCCCTGCCCGTCCAAAGCATCGCCCCGGATTCCTCCGCAGAGGCAGGCAGGGCTGTCAGTTTCACTTCTCCAGGCGCTGCCTGACTGGGAGGGCGGGAACAGGGCATGGGGGTTTTCCCTTTTTTGGGGAAGGGGACCGACTGCCACAAAGCAGAGGGGAGTGGGGCCTTTACCCTCAGGGGTCTCGCACTCCCAGGCTGGGAGCCATCTAGGGCCCGACTACGTCCCCAATCCGGACAGTGAAATGTACATGAAAGAGTCATTTAACCAGGCCCGCACTGGGAGGAGGGGGGATGCTCAGGGACTCACCCACGCACCCGGCTCCCAGCAGCACCCGTTCCCCAGTGCCATGTGGTCCTGGCCGTAGAGGGTGCTGCTCAGGCCGGGGAGCCG